GTGTGTGTGTGTGTGTGTGTGTGTGTGTGTGTGTGTGTGTGTGTGTGTGTGTGTGTGTGTGTGTGGTGAGCTTGATGGATGCTTTGGGCCTTCCCCCCCCCCATTGAAGAGAGCAAAGAAACACTGTACTTACAAAAATCGCACATGCACATGCAGTGACCAAATACATGAATACACATTCACAAAGACACATGCATGCACACAAGGCACGCACTTTGTGGGTGTGATGACTGCTGGTGTGGCCCACTTGACCGCGTGGCGGGTGGTGAGGGCGAGGCGCAAGTAGCACGCGCTCAGCTCAAGGAAACCAGGGCAGAACACAATGGCCAGTGATGACTTGCGGTTGATGCCGAGCTGCTGGTCGGCCTGCAGGTGGCGGTGATGGTGATGGAGCGGTTGCGCGCGCGCGTGCGTGTGTGTGGTTAGATGGAGAGGGGAGTCGTGTGAACTGTCGAGGAGAAGGTGGGCAAAAAGAGAACGGGCCTGATGGATGGACAGACAGACAGACACAGACACAGACAGACACAGACACAGACAGACACAGACAGACAGACAGACAGACACACACACACACACAGAGACAAACCTTTGAGTCAAAGTAGTCGATGCGGTAGAGGGATTTTGCCCTTCGCACGAGCACCTCGAGGAAGACAGCGAGAAACCCAAACCCAGCCTCCGTGTCTGTGACAAAGCGCGACGTCCACGACGCCGGGGCCGCGCGGTTTCCGAGCCACAGCGCATCGTCAAGCAGGTCGGGCGTGTTCTGGTGGAGAAGCACAAAGGAAGGAGGGGGGGTTGGAGGGAATGAGGGAATGAGGGTATGAGGGAATGAGGGAAGGAAGGGCAGGGTATCAGAACATGCCACATCTTGGACCAGTGGGAAAGAGGTACGTACACACACATACGCACGAACACACAGACACACAGACACACAGACAGGCATACGCGCACACACACGAACACACAGACAGATAGACAGACAGACAGACACACACACACACACACACTAACACTAACACTAACACACAGACACAGGCACACACACGCACAACAAGTGCATGCTGGGCCCTTACGTCGAGCTGAAGCCGCTGCATGATGGTGTGGTAGGTCGGGTGCGTTGTGAGAATGGCATGCTCATGGTAGTAGGGGACGCGCGGGCACGTTGCCGGGTGCTGGTCCGATGTTGCCGTCACATCCACGCCGCACAGCTGGTAGATGTTGTAAAACGCATTCTGAAAGCATTCAGGTGTGACGAAGGCATCGGGGGACGGACGGTTAGAAGCAGAAGCCAAAAAAAGGGAGGATGCTGGCAGGCTGCAGCATCACATTGCACACATGCACACCACTGCAGGCACAACACGAACAAGAGCAACAACAGCAAGGGCAACAGCAAGAACAAGAACAAGAACTACAGCAGGAACAAGAACAAGAACTACAGCAGGAACAAGAACAAGAACTACAGTATCAACACCACCACCACCACCACCACCAATACACACCACAGCAGCACCAATACACACCACAGCAGCACCACCTTTGAGTTGAGGGGAATGAATTTCTCCAGTGCAGCCATCCATTCCAGCCCGCTGGAATACAGAAGGGACCCAATTCTGCAGTGCCAATAAGGGAAACACGGTTGGAGGGATGCATGGTGGTGTGAATGAGTGGGCGAGCCAGCGTCACAGAGCCACAACAAACACGTGAGCATGAGCAAAAAGAGAACATTAGCAAGAACAAGGCAGCATGCAAATGCCGTGAGGACCAAGCGTCTGTACAATTGCACACGATAACACAACCCGCCCGACGCGACAACGCCCACCACAACAGGCCGGCCCTCAGCACCATCACATCATGGCAGCAGCACCACACGCAATGGCAATCTCACTTTCGAGATCGGCGGCTGCTGATGGGTGTTGCGCGCGACACGGCTGTCACGATGACCTGGAATCAGCAGCAAGTCGATTTAGGGGAGGAGGTAGACGTGGAGGGAGTGGGGAATGAGAGGGAAGCGGAAGAGTGTGTCGTGATGCTGTTAGTGTGCCATATCACAGCACACACACAACACACAACACACACGCACACACACACACATTCACACAGCGCAACTGAACGTACCTGCGCGAGGTCTGGGACGAGAAAGTAGTTGACGGCAAGGGCCTTGGCGCAGAAGAGAAGCAGGCTCTCCTGCGACACAACCGCACTGGACAAACCCAACAGCAAGACAACACCACGTATGTGTATGCATGTGTGAGTGTACGTGGGATGCGTGCACATGCACAAGCAAGCTTCCGTGTCAGTACCATGTATTTTGTTTGTGTTGCATGTGAAAGTTGCACATAGACATGTGGCAGCTGGCTGCAGCAATCAACTTCGAAGACAACGCATCTTTGTCGCACCTCAGCTTGTCGACAACAAACGAGTGCGTTTGCCAAATCAGCTGACATGCAGCTTTGATCCACGCGCGTCCCTCCTGCCGCACATGTCCCGCACCCGCATGAGCACAAACGAGACCAGCATCGGTTCTTGGCAGGCGTCATCGCTGCACACGCTACAAACAGTTCAGGAGGGGCTTGTACGCACACACGCACGCATGCACGCACGCACGCACGCACACACACACACACACATGGGTGTCTCCTTCTTCATGTTGACGGCAGGGCGACCGCCACCACACTCAACCCCAACCCCCATCTCTGCTCCAACGCGTGCTCACCCCTTCGATGTCGTCCTGTGTTGCGTAGAAGATCTGCACCTCATCGCGCGTCATCACGTTCAGCAGCACCTCAAAGTACGGCTCCCTGTTCCACACAGGCAAAACACCATGGTGTGAGCATCGTGTGTGTGTGTGTGTGTGTGTGTGTGTGTGTGTGTGTGTGTGTGTGTGTGTGTGTGTGTGTGTGTGTGTGTGTGTGTGTGTGTGTGTGTGTGTGTGTGTGTGTTGGGGGGGGG